AGGTGAAAGTTAGGAAGGAAGGGGGAAGAAGCCGCCACTTTGACCTGTGTGGCTGTATATAGAAGCTTGGAATGAGTAAATTGACCACACGAAAAAGTTGAATTAGATAAAATTTGGCATGTCTGTAACTGAGTGTGTTATGGACGGATGTAGCGGCGGTGATTATTGCGCCAGTTAAAAATGTTAAGGTTATTAATATTTTAATTTTTAAAATTATTTTAAAATATTAATTAATTAATATTAAATTTTTTTATTAATTAAATTAAATAAAATTAATATTTTTAAAGTTAATATTTTATAATTTAAATAATCTTATTATTTTTATTAATATTTTTATTGATGGTTATACCCATTCTACAATTCCAGCAGAGGAAAAGATATTGGTCATTATACGTCACATTAATTACGCGCTTCATCAAGGAAGCTAGGAACAGGTCCAATGGACTTGTCAAGGGACCAGGTTATAGGATTAAGAGGATTAATTCAAACCCGTTAATTGATGTTATATTAATTTAATAATAATATTTTCAGGCCGAACTGTTAGGTTAAGTAGCAAAAATGTATTTATAAAATATGCATATGATATACTATTAGACTTTTGATTTTAAGGTTGTGTTCTATACTAATAATTTAAGTTTTTAGGCAGGTGCTTAATTAATCAGTTGGTCTTTCAAATAATGATTTAAATTAACAAAATTTGAGAATAATACTGTTTTTTTTATTATTATTTTGAATAATTGAGTTGCTTAGAAAACAACTTTCTCATTTTTCTAACTCATTATATCCGTATTTTATATAGTTTGAAATTAAAATATTTAACTTTCACTAAAAAAATACTACTATTAATTTATTATTATGTTATTATTATTTTATATTAAATTACATAATAAAAAATAACTATCTCGCGTCTTTTAATTCATTTCATATGCATACTATATTATTCAAATTTAAAATCTCTTATTTTTATAAAAAAGAAATTATCTCTAAATTAATTAAATTGTGATTTTAAATCTTTAGCTAGGGAATAAGAGTTTTAGAGTTTTTCTAATATATGTTATTAGAGTATAGTAAATATATATTTTCATAATAAAATTGTATTAAAAAATAAAAATTAAATTTTAATTTATTAATTATCTAATTAAATTCATTCATTTAATATAAATATTAAAATTAATATTAATTTTTATATTTTTCTGTAAATATTTATAACAAAAAAAAATCCTTAATATATATACCTAACAACACAAGTTAAAATAACCCACAACTTAAAAATGAAAAAAAGGGGAAAAGAGTAGTGAATTGAAGATAGTGCGGTGCTATTTGGATAATTTTTTTATTTTATTTTGTAATATAATTTTTAAATATATTTAATATTATAAATTTTATATGAATTAAAAAAATTAATTATTTTAATAATACATTAAATTATATAAAAAAATTAAATAAAAAAATTATACAAATATAAGATAATAGACATGGGGCTGAGCTGGCCATGACAATGCATTCCCAATCCAACCCATGTCATTTACGTTACGTCTGTCATAGTCCACCCAAGCCAACAACCGACATAGCCCACCCCTTTTTTTCTTGGGTTAAATCTCTAATTAATCCCTAAATTATTATACTGACCCTTAATTAGGTCCCTAAACTAAAAACATTTTTGATTTGGTCTTTAAACTATTGTACGGATCCAATTTAGTTCCTACTATTTACCAATTTACCCTAAGTTGATTATTCAGTACAAAAAACAACTGACATGTCTTATTATTAACGTAACACATGATCATTAAATAATTATTTTTCATCATTAAGTAGTTTTTTTTCATCGTTAAATAGTTATTTTTCATCATTAAGTAATAGACACGTCAATTTTTTTTATATGGAAAAACCAACTAAGGGCAAATTGATAAATAGTAGAGAATAAATTGAGGATCCGTATAATAGTTTAAGGATCAAATCAAAAAATTTTTTAATTTAAAGATTAAATCAAAGATCTGTATAATAATTTAAGAACCAAATTAGAGATTTAACCCCTTTTTTGTGTTATAAGTTTATATCCCAGTCTCTTAAACGGGCCACAACCATCAGGCCTAACCCAGTAACCAACAATATACATCAGGGCTTTGATTTAGTCTTCCGTTCCGTTCCATTTAAGCCCAGCCCAGACCAT